AGAGCACTGGCACAGGCTGCCCAGGGAGGTTGTGGAGTCCCCTTCTCTGGAGATTTTCAAGACCCGCCTGGATGCAGTCCTGAATAATGTGCTCTGGGCAATCCTGCTTTAGCAGGGGAGTTGGACTAGATGATCTCTAGAGGTCCCTTCCAACTCTGAAGATTCTGTGGTTGATGTTTGGAATTCTGAAATAATTAGCAAACATTGCATTCAGTTTTTCCTGTATTCTTTGGTGTAAAAGGTTATGGTGTTTGTGGTTATGATAAATGTTAGGAGGTTATGGTAAAAGCTATGATATAGCCCTTCTGTTAGCACAGAACTTGAAAATTTAGTGAATATGTCTGCCTACCACACAAATATCTTGTCTTCGTCCTGTAAAATTCTATTCAAGTCTCATTTTCTTAAGATAAAATACTTGAAAATTGTCATTTTTGTGTTGTCACTTTTGTTCCACTGTGATGTTTTTGTAATATGGCACATTAAAAAACAGCCTAAGGATTTTAAATGCTGGGTTTATGCAAACAGCAAAGCAAGACCAGTGACATTGACACTACCCATGCCAGTCTGGGAGCTGCTGAAACTGCTTTAGCAACCCCTGTATTCAGTCCACAGGACCTCTCCAGATCCCTGAAGTTGTGGACTGGCTGGATCTTCCAGACGCCTTCCCTGCCAACCGTTTCCCACCTTTCAGGAGGAAATATATGTATTACGTGCCTTTCACCTTCAAAAACATAAGAGATTGAAAGAGTGAACCAAGTTTCCTTTCTCTGAATTGCTGCCTGGTTCCAGCATTGGCCTTCTGTCCTCTGAGAGCACAGAGCAGGTTGGGAGCTCTAATGGAAAAAAAAACAACACAAAAAGAAGGCAGACTGGGCCCATTTCAGCCATTATCTGATCCAGAAATTTGTTGCATCACCTCACATTTTGTCCTTTTTTTTTTTTTTCTTCAGTTGAAGTAGAGGCTTCTTAGGTGGCCGATGTAGTTGGTCTGTTAGCTGAAGACTGCAAATGGGCAGATCTTGAATATTTTACAGCAGGGCACTCATGAGCCACGACAGCTTGAGAGCGGCAGCAGCTGTCACATCGTGGTTTCTTCTGGACTTCCAAACATGCTGGAAGCCAACTGTTACATCCAGGGTACAGAGGCAGCTTCTCCCTGTCTTTCTGTGTTTCTGCTGGCATGTTTAATGGATAATTCAGAAAAGAAAACTACGGCGTGGCCCACCAAATTTCCAAAGCACAAAAGGACAATGTCTATTGTAGTGTTAAAGATGAAAGACCTTGTGGATACTGTATGAAGGTGAAAGGCTTTAGTACAGTTTATCATATTATGTATTTTAAGTAGGGAATTGTTTTCTGAGTTAGTTTTGACCCTGTCACTTCTCTCCTTGCATTCCTCCAGAGGTTGGTTTCTTGCTATCACATCAAATATAAGCTGTTTGCCTTCACTTGAAGGGCTTTCATGGACTTATCCCCATTCTATCAACTTTCATTTTATTTTGATAATATGATGATTATAGTTACATTAGCCATTTGCTAAATTTTCAATACCTCTGTGGTGATTCCTGGTTTTGCAGGGCGTTTCATTTGTGTCTGTTCAAAGCCACATCACTGCTCCGTTTCATAATCCTTCTTTAAATTCTCTCTTTCCTTTGACTGAGAATCTTTTCATTTGGAGGGTGGTCATGTTATGCATGTTATGTTATTTTACTCTTTTTATTTCATTCACCTTTCTATGTCATGTCTTTATAATGTGTAACCCTTTATTGTGTGCATAGGCTGTAAGCCTTTTCTATGGAAGCAGATGTCACTGTTTTGTTCAGTGACTTATGGAATACATGCTGCATATTCCTAAAATACCCAGATGTTATGATAATCTACATAATAGTTCAAGCAATGTGCCAACATCTTTTATGTTATTAGTTGTTGAGGACTGTGCTACCATCTAGTATATCCATACTGCAAAAAAAAAAAAAAATTGTTCGATGTGCAATAGAATTAATGGAATTTACAATTTTTGCCTTTTCTGCACTGCAATAACTTGAGCTTTTTACTTCTGTAGAGCCACCCTACACAGACCCTCAGTTCTTCCATGCATTTCCAGACCCCTGCCAAAGTCCATTCAGATCTCCTCCTCAACATCTCAACAGTACCACCCTGCCCCAGCTTCCTCTCAGACTGCCCGAGGGCACCATCTTGCCTCCTTATACTCTCAACACCCTCTCTCATCCCTACCCAGGTTTGTTTAATGTTTCAGTTTTAGGCAAGAGGCAGCATATTCTGCAGATGATGGAAGCTATCCATGTGCTAATTTCCAGAAATAAGTGCATGGCAATTGGTGCTGTTACCTCCTCATTTCAAATGATGGAAGAAGGTTTTGTGCTTTTCTTCTTGTTATGAGCACTACTGGGATCTTCATTATTGATTTTCTTGAAAATTCTAGGAACTTGGTATCTTTCAGGCACTTGTTCTTGTCTAGTTTAGTTTATAGTTTTGAGAGGTAGTGGTGGTGGATAGGGATTGACAGATAATAACACCATAAACTAATCTCCTTAACAAACTTTAGTGAAAATCATTCTTTCAAGTTATTTTTGAGATCCCAGCTGTTGAAGGTAATATGAACTACTGGTTGATTGGAAAGAGAGTAGAGTTCTTCTTGGGTTTGTAGTCTTTCATTATAGCCTGAAACTATCCAATATTTAGAGTAATGCAGCTGTTTCTGCATCTGAAAACACATTAATCTACAGCACTGAGAGCTGTGACATGGTAATGTGAACATGCAGTGGCTTTCTTGAAGAATATAAATATTATATCTGCATAGTATCTGCATGTTTATATTTTAAAATGTAGACATGACAGAAAGATACAAAATGCTGCAGAATCCTTAGTGTAATTGAAGAATCTAGGCTTTGGTTTGTGTATATAACTAAACATATGAAGGGTGTGCATTTGCTTTTAGATGAGTGCCTACTTTATTATTATTATGAGAAACTTTCAGCTGCTTAATACAGTTGCTTGTTAGGTACCTCTTGTCACAGAGGAGAACATGGGAAACATGTTTAGCATGTGGAGTCAGCTGATTCAGCAGTGTCATTGTTATCTCACACAATGACATCACAAGGTAGGACACAACTACTCCGAAACAGAAGTTGCCTCACCAAAGTTTTGTAAGAAAAGGGAGTGAAAGGGAGACCACCAAGGCCACCACTCTCTTCCTCAAACAGCCCTGACAGCACTGGTGAGATTAGGATGAAAGTGGTCTTTTCCCCCCTTTTCATGAAATGACCTCTCAGAGTGGTGAGGACTACACTGGGGAAACAAAAATATCTCATTGCAGCTCTTCCCCAGGTTTCCCAAAGTCCTGTTCACACTAATTGCATCCACATCCTGATTCCCTTGGACTTTCTGCAGCTCCAGACCCCTTGGATTCCTCTCTTTCTTCTGTCTATAAGGCTGTCTGGGCACCAGTAACTGTGTTAGAAAGCCAAGGTAGAAATAGGAGTTTTGAGATAGTCCCAACAAGTTGAATGTAAGGTACTAGGCGCAAAACAGCTCGTGCCTGATTATATGTGCCCAACATAATAAATCTCAGTTTCCTAACCTGCTGTGCCTGGCATATTTGGATCCCAATGTGTGCTTTGTGGGGTGAAAGGTCTGGCATGGAGCAGTCTGAATGGGGTGACTCATACACAAAAGAGACCTCCTAGAAGGTTCACTGTGCTACCAGCTGCAGCCTGGTGCTGAGTCCCCTGTCTGTCCCCGTGACATAAACCAATGTGTGCTCTTTCTGACTGCACAACCTGATGAGTTTCTCTTGACCATCTCATGAGTGGAGATGCTCTGTCTGCCCCGTCTTGATGCAAGTCGATCTGCTGGTCCCCTCCATCAGATAAAGGTGAGAGGCTGGGGAGCATAGCAGCTGGAAAGTACTTTGAAGTACTTGTAAGGTCCAGTTGGTTTGTGCGAGTATAATGCCTGGCATTGTGTGGACCCATTCATTGTTGATCTGAGTGTCATTTTAAAAATGGGGTTCGGCAGACTCTGTTTAAAAGAGTCTGCTGAGCAGAACTGTTAAGATGGGACCATGGTAATTCCTGTGTTCCGTGCGTTCATCTTGCTGGCACAGAAAGGTGCTGTTTACACCCACCTACACAAGCACAGGTGTTTCAAGCGCATTTTTACATGCTCTTCTTTAAGTAAAAGTTAAACTGATGTCTGCTTTCTCGCATGCTTTTGAAGAATCTTGCCTCCTTGTTTAAGGATTTTGCTGCTGTGTTTTGAAATAATTTCCAATTTCTAAATCACTTCACATTCATGGAAATTTAGTGTTTGTCCCTGTCTTCTGATACAGGTGTATATTGGGCTTTTTTTTTTTTTTTTTTCTTTTCCGTATGTTCAGAGAGTATAGGTAGTGAAGATATTTGCACAGGGATGTGGCACAATTTCTCAGGGAAATAATCTGTGAAGAATTGGAAATTTGTGTGTATTTACCTAGAAGGACTTCAGCAATTTATGAGTAGAGTTTACAGGCCCTATGTACTTCTTCACTTGCCTGCTTACAGTGCTGTATCTCTGGGTGAATTCATCTAGGACCGAGTGCTTTACAGAATAACTGAAATATTGTTTGTCTTTTTAGGCTGTGAAGCATGTTACAGAACCGTACAACAAGTGGATGAAGGGGAAAGGAAAAAGTGCCATTGATAGCTAGGATAGCAACATGGGAAATACAACCACCAAGTTCCGCAAAGCTCTTATAAATGGAGATGAAAACTTGGCCTGCCAAATCTATGAGAGCAACCCTCAACTAAAAGAAACTCTTGACCCAAATACTTCTTATGGAGAAACGTACCAGCACAATACTCCACTCCATTATGCTGCTAGGCATGGAATGAACCGTATACTAGGGTGAGTATGATTTGAAGTTATGCTTGGGTGCGAATAACTGACCAAAGAAATGCAAGAGTGTCCGCTTGGTTATATGTACCTTATGTATGTACACATATATATGCATATGTGTGTGTGTGTTGCAGACACAGAATTTGTAACATGTTCACGTAGTAATAGGAAACATGCAAATTGGTCTGTAATCGCAGACTGGTATAACAGGTTTTGATTTTATTTTTAGTATCTTTGTTCCTTCCTTGTAACATTAGTTTTAGCTTGCTTCCTGAAGACTCCCATGCCACACGGTTCCTTGAAAATAGTGTGTGTTCCACTATTCTTGATGTGTTTTCCTGTCTTAAAATAATCTGTTTGTAAAGCTGTACCAGTGGATACCATACTGATTGTATGTACTTCCAATATATGTTTATTCTTGTGTTATTCAGGCAGCTTTTATTTTTTATTTTGAATAATAACTGAACATTAATATCATGATAAGTAAGTTTATTGTTGCCGCGGTCAACATGTACAGCTATCCCTAATGTTAGCTACTTCCATTCTTCTGTATTTTTGTCGGTGCTCTAAGATCAATTAAAGATTAACATCTTATCCATGTCCAGACATTGCAGGTACAAGCTGTTCTGGTCTCGTATTTCATGAAGCTAGTACTGAGTAGACATTGCTAAACCTCTTCTTCAGTAGCTAGTGAGCTAGAGAGAATTTCATAAATATCCTCTTTCTAATATTAGGAAACAGAATGGAAATATATGCTAAACAGTATTATTGTTAATATTCTTTTCATCTCTGTGTTTATACCTACTGATGGGCCTGTGGTGTTCATAAGTTTTGTTTTGTCCCTCATGTACTGTAACTTTACTAGCTGTCTGGCCTCCCACCATAAAATCCAAAGTGTTTTGGATTCCCTTAACAGTTTTTTATACTTTATAACTTCTAATTTATCTTGATTTTTGCTAAATGTTTTTCTCTTCTCTCCCACGTATTCTTTATTTCTATTTTTAATTGATGTTTTCATTTCATCACTGAATCTTTTTGTTCCATCCCCAAACTTCCCCCATTCCCGATTCTTGAATTATAGGAAAAATTTAATGAAACTTCATTTAAAATAGCATCCAGTTTTTATTTATGTTCTCTGTGTGATTTTTTTTTTTTCCTCTGAGATTTTCAGGTTATTTCTCTCAAGACAATATCTCTTTAAGAATCTATAGTGTCATTGAAACAACAAGGGCACATATGCAAACATGCATATATGGAAAGAAATGGAACCATAATTACTGACTTCTGAGCAGTCTATTAGTTAATTCATATTGCACCATTATGATGAGATCTTAAATAATTGCTTTGTGTTAACAAAAAAAGGTAATTTAGAAATGACATTTTACTACTAGTTGCATGGTACCTTTAGTATCAAAATCTCACAGGACAACTCAGTTTTATTTTGCACACATTGCAAACAAATAATCAGAAGAATCATTCTTTTTTTCTAGTTTGAGTCCAAGGTTTGCAATACATTTTTTTGCCAGTAAACATAGTTGAGGTGCTGTTCTTTGCTAGAGTCTGCTTCTGAAAGCCTGGACTGTTAGAATAGTCACTATTGCTAGGAGTAATTTGCTGGGGTTTTTTTACTATTTATTTTTCTACTGTCTTTCTAAGGCCTTTGTTCATGACAATGCATGCTCATGTTCATGACAAGACATGCTGCACAAAAATGTAGCCTTTTTATCTAAACAAAGTAGTAAGAGTGAATAAATATCAAACTCACAGTGTGCCTGTTTGCCAAGTTGATAGTAGAAAGGGCACAAGTGATTTCCAGTTAAGCCTCTTCCTTTTGATACAGAAAGTCCTGGGTATGACAGAGATTAAATAAATTGAATAGTAAAATGAACGCTTTGATTTACTGATGAAGTACAATAGCTAAAAATAAATGAATTTTTAGCTTTATATGTTGAGAGATATTTACAATTAAAAGATGTCCATAATACTATAATATTTTAAATTTATCTCCTCGTTAAATATTTTAAATATCTGGGAATCTATAGCTACACTACCTTGTAGTTCAAACTGTAGATGTTACTTATATGTACACCATATAATTCAATTTTTCTTTATAGGCTGATATTTGTAATGTTGTAGGTGGATATGAACTGATGTGTTTTACAATTCACTGTGTGAAATTTTCTCTAAATAGAGTAGTGTGATGCAGTTGTCAGTACACCTTTTGCATAACAGAATACATTGAGAGAGATATTCTCGGATGTTTAGAAATAACCTATCTGCCAAGGTGGTTACCAAATTCTGAGGCAAAGGGACAAACTCCCTGTTACCAGATGTATGGCTGGTGGTGACTGTCTGAAGATGCAGTGAAAGCACAGGCACCGAGCTTGCAGTGAAAGGGATTTGGGGACATCTTGGTATAGCGATTTCAGAAGTCAAGAAACAAGAAACTGGAGAAGGAGTGAAAGGGTCCTGAAGCAAAATTCCTGACCTGGACAAATTTTGTATAGTCCAGCATGAAGTCTACTGGCAGAAACATACACCAACAAAACTTTCTCAACAGTTTTGAACTGCGCAGTTGTTTTACAGCAGGTGTCTGAGTCATACGGCTGCTGCACCTTTCATCCAGCATTTACAGCCCGGAAACTGGATTTAGTATATAATCGAGCTGTAAAAATCTGAAAATTTGCTGTTGGTTTCTTTTCTTTTCACAAGATTCAGCAAGAGTGTGTTAGAATACTAGGATTTTTTCTATGATAATTTTTCATGAGTCTCATAGAAAGCTTTGGTGTATTACAAATGTTGAAATAAAAAATGGAAAATAGTGAGACATTCCATTAATATGTAACTTTTGTTTGGTCTGCAGCCCTAAGTAATATTTACCTGACAGGTCAGTTTGTTTTAACAGAGCATTTAATGTTTAAAAACCAAAAATTGCTGGTCACAGCTAATTAGCACCAACAGGAATTTTCAAAACACTGCTTGAAGTTGCCGGAAGTTATTACATAGCACTCAGCAGTTCCCTGTAACTGACAGCTATCTCATTTTCTCTGTCCAGTTAGTGGGGCTATTTAGTTAGAGTGTGGGTGAGGTTGTGTGATGGAGGGCTCATCCATCAGCACAGGAAAGACATGGACCTGTTGGAGCAGGTCCAGAGGAGGGCCACAAAAATGATCAGAGGGATGGAACACCTCTCTTATGAAGAAAGGCTGAGAGAGTTGGGGTTGTTCAGCCTGGAGAAAAGAAGGCTCCGGGGAGACCTTATTGTGGCCTTTCAGTACTTAAAGGGGGCTTATAAGAAAGATGGGGACAAACTTTTTAGCAAGGCCTGTTGCAACAGGACAAGGAGGAATGGTTTTAAACTAAAAGAGGGTAGATTTGGACTAGATATAAGGAGGAAATTTTTTTTACAGTGGGGATGGTGAAACACTGGAACGGGTTGCCCAGAGAGGTGGTAGGTGCCCCATCCCTGGAAACATTCCAGGTCAGGTTGGACAGCACTCCGAGCAGCCTGATCTAGCTGAAGATGTCCCTGCTTACTGCAGGTTGGTTGGACTAGATGACCTTTAGAAGGTACTTTCCAACCCAGACTATTCTATGATTCTCTGATCGCCAGGAGCACAGGAGAGCCCAGAAGCAGAGTGGCAGGTGGGTCCCAGAAGCTCATCAGAGGGAGGAGCCCTCTGCTCCAGGGCTGTCACAGAAGAGCTGTCTACCCCACCTCTCAGCTGTGACACCCATCAGGAGGAGTCTACAGAAGGGGGTTGTACTGGGTTTATGTGGCAAGGTTTTGGTAGCAGGGGGCTGCAGGGGTGGCTTCTGTGAGAAGAGATCAGGAGCTGCCCCGTGGCAGACACAACCACCTCCAGCCATCTCCAAAACTGAGTCTATCAGTGATGCTTGTGGCACATCCGTGGTAACATATTTAAGAAAGGGTAAAATTGCTGTGCAGCAGCTGTGAGAAAGGAGTGAAAAAAGATGTGAGAGACAGGACTGCAGAGACCAAGGCCAGAGAAGAAGGAGGGGAAGGAGATGCTCCAGGCACTGGAGCAGAGACTCCCCTGCAGCCTGTGGTGAAGCCCATGGTGAGGCAGATTGTCCCCCTGCAGCCCATGGAGGTCCACAGTGGAGCAGATACTGCAGCCCATGGAGGACCCCACACCGGAGAAGGTGAATGTGCCCCGAAGGAGGCTGCAGCCCATGGAGAACCCGTGCCAGAGCAGGCTCCTGGCAGGAGCTGTGGTCTGTGGAGAGGAACCCACACAGGAGCAGGATTTCTGGCAGGACCTGTGACCCCATGGAGGACCCACGCTGAAGCAGTCTGTTCCTGAAGGGCTGTACTCTGTGGAAAGGACCCATGCTGGAGCAGTTCTTGAAGAACTGCAGCCCTGTGGGAAAGACCCACATTGGAGCAGTTCTGGAAGGACTGTGTCCTGTGGGTGGGACCCTATGCTGGAGCAGGCGAACAGCAGCAGGAGCAGCAGAGATGAACCCCCGTTCCCCATCCACCGCTGCTCAGTGGGGAAGGATGTAGAAGAATCAGGAGTGCAGCTGAGCCTGGGCAGAAGGGGGAATAGGGGGAAAAGTGTTTTCAGTTTTATTTATATTTCTCACTATCCTACTCTGTTATTAAGTGGCAATAAATTAAATTAATTTCCCAAAGTTGAGTCTGTTTTGCCTGTGACAGTAATTGGTGAGCTGTCTCCGTGTCCTTAACTCACAGGCTTTTTTGTTGTATTTTCTCCCCCTGTCCTGTTGAGGAGGGGGAGAGAGAGAGTGGCTGGGTGGGCACAAGGCAGCCAGTGAAGATCACCCCACCACAGGTGGGTTTGAGGAGGAACATGCTTGGGACAGTAGAACAGGGGCTAAAAGGGGCCGGTGACATGGAAATGGGTGACATGTCAGACCATGATGTTTGTCTGACCACAGCTGATCACCGTAGTCTGCCCTATCTTCTCATTAAACTCTGTTTCTAGTTATTTTCTGGGGTGACAGTATTCTGCTGTGTGCAT